ATGTACATCATTATTTCAGTAGAAGTTTTTAATAACTAACTCCAAACAAAGGATCATACATCGGTGTCAATTGTGAACAAATAAACGAAACATAGGCCAAAAAACCTTCGGAAACAATTGCTTCTTTGTAACATATCATTATGCCTAATCAAAGTGTAAAATGTATTTCAGACGAATGCCTTCTAATTGTAGTTTTTTTCACCATTTCTATGATTAAATGTTGAATTTTGCTTAAACCGGTGCTAGAGGACGAGAACGGTACCTAGCTCTTTCCAGCAGGCTCAATCAAGCTGAGCCTGCAACATTGTCATTCCGTTTTTCTCTATTTTATTTCATTTCAGTGTTGTTGTATCATGCTTCTCCTTCGAGATAACTGATTCCAGCAAGTAAGTGTTGAAGATTGAAAACCACTTCTGAAATCTGGAAACAAAGGGTTCCCTCGGAAGCATTAATCATAACAAAATAACATGAAAATTGCAGACTCGGTTTGATTGAGTCTGTACATTAAAACCGGTTCTAGTAGGCGTGAGAGATTATACCCTTTTTAGATTATCTCACATGAACAGACTCAATCAAACCGAGTCTGCAATTTTCATGTTAATGCTTATTTATGTTGTTTTTCAGTGCTTCCGAGGGATCACTTTTTTACAGATAAATATTGTCTCAGATATATCTTTTTTTAACCATCGTAAATAAAAAAAAACTTAAATTGTAAAGTCTCTACAAGGACAAAAAAGTCAATTTGTATAAAAATGTATGGCATGTTTGAACTTAAACAACTTAATTGGTAAATAAACTACAGCAGTTTAACAACTTAAATCATTAATATTACGTATGTTATTTTCTTATTTCATTTCGTGTTAAACACGACTTGAGTTGTGCATAACAAACCAAATAATTTGAAATAAATATTATTCTAACAGAAAACGAAGGGCGTTTTGTCTAGCGTAAAGTGTTAAAGTTAATATTTGCATTTTCATCAAATTATCTAAATGTGAACGCATTTTATGAACCATGTTTGAAACCTAACACACTTTTATTTACCAAATGTCACAGTTCGTGTGTAACTGTAAAAAGTAGTCGAAGTTGAGATGGGGATGGTATTTACAAAAGCTTACTCATCAAAATTATCTTTAATATCAATTTTAATAGACGGTTTCTTCTTTGGATAGTTTTGTGCGATGCTGTAGATTTGTATCTACCAAATCAGTATATATCACAAGAAGTGCATTGGGTGGTTGATATGAAACTTTAAAATGGATACAACTACATGTAAACATTCTGAAAAGGTGACTGACCCGTCGAGAACAATGGCATGCAAACCAAACAGTCAAATAATCGCATACTCGCTTGGTAATTTGCTCTGTATCAGAACCAACAATGGACAGGCTTTTAAAACTTAGCTTGAAAAAGTTTCAATTAAGCAGTTTTGAACATTCTTAAGATATACATTTGTTTTCTGTTTCCTTCCGTTGATTTATAAGAATTTATAGAAATGGCAACATCTCTCACTCCCCCTCGCACCGATTAAAGAGGTTTATATCGTAATTGAGAAGTTATCAATTATCCGTTTTACTTTAAAAAATGGTTAACACTGGCGTGTTTGATATACAGTTGATTATATTTTATTCATATCTTAAAAATCTGAACATTTTTTTTATTTATCTATGTTCATGTACTTATACAATTGTAGTAAAAAACTCGATTTCTAAAAACTGATAAATGATATGTTAATTCAAAATAAAACATCATTTGTGACAAAGATATTATCACTTGACTGTGAAGTTAAACAGTTTTATCACCTTTGTAGTCATAAATGCTATATTGTGATCTCCTTACTTTGAAACTGATAGTTTTATATATAAAAATAATGTTCATTTTTATTTTTCTTTCTCGTTTTTTTTACATATAGGTGTTGTAAGGCCAAACAAAAATAATCCTGGATCCTAAATGAAATACAAACTTTCCCCGGTGTCCCAGTGCCTCTCAAGCTACGGATCTTAGGTTAGAGCAACATCGGGGTCACGACTATGTTTCCTTATATAACAACAATACTGGTGAAATTGAGTAATCGGGCTCGAATTTGGTTCCAATTCATTTTTAAAAATTGACTATGGTTGAACAAAGCATATCTCTATCTTCTCTTATAATACTTTATATTAAGTAGGTAAAGTAGGTATCAAAACGTCCAAAATATTGCATTATTACAGAATAATTTACAGTGCAACAAGGTGAAAAACTGAGAAAAAAATGCAAAATTTATATTAACCGACACAGCAACTGCCAATGACAATCATAAAGGAAACAGACCATTTCTTACTTAATTGACGTTTTGTCATAATTTAGCCGTAATGGCATATTGTTTATATGAAACAAAAATATAAATAGCTCCTGATTGTTATATATCAGTAAGCGTGCAACAAATAAGCTTAACGAACTGTCATACTTTTTTTTCTTCTCGAATTTGATTTCCAACATATTATAGGCAAGTGCTCATAGCAATAAGTTTGTCACGTGATCTTGTAATTTCTTACCATTTCGTATATCAGTATGATATGTAAATGATATGATGTCGAGATTATACCTGATTCGATAATATGGATGCTTTAGTATTTTATACTCTTTTCTATTACATCACCTAACAGTTTTTATTGCTATAAAGCATGTTAAAATACATATAAAACTAAACATACAATGACTATATAAAAGCAAAGTTAAGCAATTTGGATGCATATTATGTTGTATGATTTACAGCATGTCACAAAATATTCGAATAGAAAATGACAGCAAAAGAATAGTGGTTTCACCATCAACAATTATGTTTAATAATGAATATGTCTTATGCATTCAGGATTTATAGTTGCTTTACTTGCCACCGAAGTTAAGACGACATGCTGTCTAATGCATGCTAATAATATGAATTGAAAGTTAGGATGTCTAGTTAATTCAAGTTGTATATGATAACCACTTTGTATTGATAAACCTGCATTGTAATGATCATATGGATGTGAAAGGTATTATTTTTGCTGTAATTATATATATAGAATCTCGATGTCAGGGAAGTTTAAGTTTTAAATCATACTTTGTCTAGTTGTGTATTTGTTTCAGTACTTATCATTGATTTATTTATATTTCGTAATTTATTATGATAGAAAATAGGACAAGAAGTAGTTTATAGGAGCTCAACCGATTTTTTAGACCAAGAGAAGAACTTAAAAATCAGTGTAGTCTTTTTAAGTTTATCTAAATAAATTTGATATCAATGACGGTTTTGACTTATGTAGTGGTAACGAGTGGTTAACGCGTCGGACTAGTAATCTAAGGATTGCTGACAGTGTAGGCTCAAATCCTGTTCAGGGGCAAGCAGATTTTTCCTTAAGCAAGAAAATTTACATTCATTGTTTGGTACTGGTTGGTTCCAGGAACGGACTCGTCAGTGTTTCAATAAGCTTATAGCTTCCAACACAATTGAACTAAACAAAATTGTATAAACTCAAAGTACATAAAGCAAAAGGCAAAGTCATTTTGTGTCACTGATTAGTTTTACGGAATCGCCGCCCGGAACCTTATATTTCAGTAAACATTTCTTCAAATATGGCAAAAATTACACATAATTTGGCTTCAGTAGTTTTGAATTGCCTTATAAAACAACTTTTATTGATGTGTACTTATAGGTTTATATACTGACTGTCATATTTTCACAAAAGAGAGTGTCAGCCCATCGTCTTTAAAAGTGAAAACAACATCCGCTTTGCCTTTATTTGGATATAATTTTATTCTTGAAAACCTAATCTTCTTTACATAATGACAACAGAGAATTTATTTTCATTATTAAGATTTTATCCTTCAATACAATTGACGTTATCAGTGTTTGTTCAGGCTTATATCAAATAGCCGTATAAATAATATGCATATGAGCAAAAAGCGTATATAGAGAGGCTGATATAAAACGTAATTCCTAAAATCACAACACTTTTCGAAAAAGTATTCCAAGAACAATTAGCTAGTTGTGAAGGGGTACTGTCATTGATAGCTTCTGTTAGTTCTTTTATTAAATTATATCCAAAAAATATTTCATTCGTCATTTGTCATTTGTTATTTTATAAACGTCAATTTTTTCTGAAGAAGAATAAACCTCGAAACCTTAAGAAAAGCGTTTGTTTTTATTGAACTGATTATATATTAAATTTTATCATAACAAGTTTGCAGAAATATTTTAGTATTCTTTTATACCACATTATTCAGCACCTTTTTAATGCTAAACATTAGAGCACAGCAAGAAAATGTGTCTGACATCTTTTTATAAGATGTCTTAAACTTTGATAAAGAATATCCAAAGCATTTTGTAAGCTCTCAAAACAGAGTAATTGATAATTTATCAAAAATTTTCGTAAAAGAACAAAAAAAATCTATTATTTTATATAAAAAACTTGATTAAAAATCCATTAAAAAGCCATTAAATATTTATTTTGATCGAAAGCTACCACCTTGATTGCGACATTAGCCGTCAGGCCATACTATATAGCATTAATCTAAAACAGTACCTGTACGTACGTATGTAAAGTATGGGCAAAATAAAAAAATATGTGTTAATGCAAATCGATCAGTCTCTAGTAAAGAAAGGTTATTAATAATAGATTGTTTTGTAGATCGAACAGTCTCCATTTGAATTAAAAAACGATGAATATAATTTGTTAGATATCTCAACATATCTAGACTGTATCTCAGTAATGAATTCATATTTTTGGGGTTAAATTTAAAAAGAAGTATTGGTTTAAAGGACTGGTTAAAGTTAACCACTGGATAATGCATTTTATCCATTAGAACCTTTACTTTGCTTTTATGTATAAACGGTTAACATTTAATCAAAATTAAAAATAATAGTTAAAATATTTCTTCCACCGGTTTATCAGCATATTGTCTATCAACCAAGCTATTTTGCAAAACATAAAAAATAAGCATTTTCAAAAATAAAAGTTTAAAAAGAGCTATAGTATTACCTTATTTCCTTATGAGTTGAAAACTTTATTTTATATCCGTTAAAAATCCATTCAGCGTTTAAAAAATTGAAATAATGATAATAACTCCGGTACAAATACAACACCTTTCAGCAGCCAGTTACTCGCTCACAGTGGTATACAAGGCTTATCCAACTCTCCGACGCTGTACTACACTAATGTATGTGAAAACGTTCATTCATCCACTTAAAAGTTTCATTACACCACTACTACTGTAATTTAAACGACTGTAAAATCCCCAAAATATACGATTTTACATGACAATTGATAGAAATGGGTCTGTAGAAGAGTTTTATTTTACAAGGGTCTATTTGTAAATAATAATTATAATATGAATAATGCTAAATATAACCTAACAAATGCAAACATAACAAATGCACTTATGCTGTACTTGTTATGAAAATCAAAATTTTAAATTATTCAAATGTGACATGATGCGGTCTGAATAGCCAAGCTGAGAAAATCATTTTGATTTGAAAAGATATCTTGAATAATCCACACGAATAAATTGCATTGGCAAATTTGTCAATACAAACAACAAAATAACATAGCAAAAATTTCACTGATCGTAGTTAAAAAGCACAAATTTGAAGCAGCCTGTCCTGCCTCCAAATTCATGTTTATTTTTATAAAAAAAATAAAAATGAATCGAAAATTATAATTTTGTGAAGTGAAAACAGAAAGATGTTTACAATAAATAAATTGCAAACGGCACTTACAGTCCACGTAAATTACCAACAAGTGGTCAAAATATGCAAAAATACGTAGTTCTGACTACGTAAGTCACGCAGTAGAGATAAGAAGATAAAGCATATTTCGGTAAAACACAGTGATAGTTAGGAGTCATATATATTTCATTAGAAACATTCTTATCGACCTATACATTATCATTACGTAAACCAGGGGGGGGGGGGGTGTATAAGGTATTTTTTTTATATCTTAATGCTATATATATTTTGTAGTTATCGTGTTATAAGTGTAACCGCACTAACACTATAGTCATACATTTTCTAATTGGAAGCGATTTGTCCATGTTAATCGTGTTCTTATAGTTTAAATACATCTATAAAATAATGTCAACACAAACAAAAACATATTCATAGCTTCTTGTAGACGTAACACATGTAATAGAAAGAGCATCGAAACACGAGGCTATCTGATTTGTATGAGGGGGCGTAGCCCCCCGAGTATAAATCAGATTGCCGAGTGTTTTGATGTTCTTTCTTTTTTGTATCATAGTCAAAAATAAAAACACGTTCCCTGTTGGCACAAAATGAAACCCCAGAAAAAAATAACCAATGAACGAGCATCAGAATATGATATTTCTGTCGCTTTCACTGTCTCTGCCGTCACAATATGTAAACCCCAGCAAAAATGAACCAATCAATGAGCATGCTCTGGAGTGCGGGTAACTAATACCTGCACTCCAGTTTTCGCACTGTGCATGTATATGTATACGATTTAATTCTTGACACATTTTCAACAGGAAGGACCCCAAACTATGATACAAGTACAAAATATCTTAGATATTTCTACAATATCATCAAACTTGCACATCCCCAAACAAATACTCTTTAAAATGCACATATAAGATATGTAAAATTAATAAATTAATAAGAAACTATTTACAGTCAATCTTAAAATGTTAATGATACTACCGTCATATTGACTTAGATATAACTGACATATATTAATTCTTGTGTTATAACAAAACTATCACATCATTTGTCGGTTTTGTTATGTAACACTGTATTCAATTTGTACAGTTGGCACGTGATTGTAGCTATGTCCTCGTGATGTACGACTAACACAAGGTAAACTGACACAGGTGTGGCTAGCAATAAGTAATAGTTATGCTATTTTTCTTCCCGATCTTTTTTTTGCATCATTCATTAATATTTATTACACACGTCTGAACAAATGAAAAGTACTTTTACATTACGCAAATTATAATAGCGTGTTCATAAAAGTATGTTCACATAAGATAAAAGTATGATTTTGCTGTTTAATAATAGCAGTACAAATTTTTGTAATTTAGAAAGACAAAATGTAATTTCCCATAATTACATTAAAATCTGGAAAGGGCAGATCTCTCAAAAGCAATGGAGACAAAAGCACGAATGACTCAAAAATTTATTGTTTTTTTTTATTTTTTATTTTTTAATTATTATTTTTTTTTGTATGAGCGAAATTTCACGGTCTCTCTCGGATGCCCCCTAACACCGACCGACTTTAGTGGTATTGAATCCTCAACAATCAATGATGCTGAAGTAATAGCAAAATATAGGAACACTCAGATAAAGTATGTGGTGTGGTTACGTATTTCAGCTGCCAAACATTTATAATTAACACTCGCTGTTGTTAATATAAAAAAATTAAAAGAGTACATTTTTCGAAAGCAATGAAGGTAAAAGAGCATACACTTTATTTCTGGCTTGAGCCTAACACACATCATCATAACATATATATACATGTATAATTATTACAATGCATACATAAAGAAATCATGTTTTTATCAACTTAATCAGTTATTTTCTCATATAAATAAATAATACCAACATGATATTTTAGTTAATCAAATTAATTGAGAATGTTAAGAAATAAATAACTGCATTAACTAACTTATAACTAAACGGTTATGTGAAAGTCGAAAGTTATCGGTATAAAATGAGCTATTATTTGAAATAAACCGAATACCCCTCAGCTTTAAAACACGCCATTTTGTATTAAAAAAAAGAGAAAATAAGAATCCCTAAATCAAGACATTTCTCGCACTTATATTCTTCATACATGACCAAATAAAGACAAACATCTACGGTTCAAAATCAAAGTGTAGAAACCTAAACCTAATACATTAAACGTTTAAAGATGGTATGATAATAATAAATCGCAACAGTTTGGGTTTAAAACTGCTCATCAAAACATATGAAAATTGTTTATATAGCTATTTCCTGTTGGAACAACACATTTGTTCACATTTGTTCGAATTTGCTCGTACAAATCAGATAGCCTCGTGTTTCGGTGCTCTTTCTATTACATATTTTATTTTCTAAGTTTCCCTTAAGAAAGATTGGTATGGTTGCGTTTTATACTCAGGTTAAAATGAGTTGTTTAAACTCTAATATGAAACATCAACGTTAATTTGTCTTCTCAAATTTTAATGTACGCCAAAAAGACAAAATTGAAAAGGTTACAGGCTCGGTTTTATTTAGCCATTCTTTGCGGTAGTGGTAATGCAAGCTACCGTCCAGGACCCATTCTGTTACATAGATTTCAATGAATAACTTAACTAAGCTTGCCAGGAAAACAGCTTTAATTTCTTTCTTTGTCCTTCATCTATTTTTTCACAATTAAACATTCCGTATTCTTTTCTAAACACTTGTATCTGTTTTCTTATTATACTCCAGACTTTCAAAACTAGACAACCTTTTTTTATAAATGCAAGCTATGCAAGATCCTTCAGAGCTAATAAAAAGAAACATTTGGCATACAAGTTTGTTTTGCCTCAAAACTGATCTGATCATTATAAGCTCTGGCAATAAAAAAAACACAGAAATTAATTTCTTTACGCTTCTTTTAGCTAAGTATCTGCTAAAAGGTGCGCTTGGGGACAAATACTCGGTAAATAACTGAAAACTATGTCATTGGAGTGCATTTATAGAGGCAGTTAACATTACATGTTTAGGAAAATTGCTTTGTAAGATTTCATCGGGTATGCAATTCTCACAGCGACAACATTAGGGCTTTTGTAAGGCTCTTATATGCTCAATAATGTTAAGCGCTTTTTTAATCAAGCAACTCTACACTAGGTGTCACCACCCCCACGCCGTTAGGTCTTTCAAACATCCATATCTTAGTTTAAAGCAACATTAATTATATTGTTGTAATATCCTTTATCAACCTATCTCCATAATTTTTAGCAACGTCTCCGTCTATGATAAAAACAGTAGTGTTCAAACAGAAGACACTTTTCCCTGCGAAAACAAAATAACAATAAAACGAACTGATCACACTTCAGAAGATACTAGTAGATTTATTTCATGTTCTTTTCAACAATGGTAGATATACATGCAAAATTTGTTTTTGCCATATCGAATATTTTTCGGATTTGTTTCGTACCCACGGGATGCTGCTTATTAATGCGTTCATTTCTTAACATTGCATCATAGTTCTCTTGTAACAAGCAAGTTAGTGTTGAATGATGCAATTATGATTAGTCAAGAGGAAAATCAATTATTGCAACATAAACTATCGTCGAATACATATTATAGTCTCATTTGTTTAATCTATATGAAACAATTTCACGTGTGAAAGCTTTTACAATCAAATATATTGCACATTCTAAACTGATTATTCAGCTTTGCAGGGTTTATAGAATTTCTCATGCAGCAAATTCGACACCATTGTTGTGTCGAGACTGCATTTCTTTCAAAGTGGCTAAAAAAGAATTTATAGCGTTGAAGTAGCGTGAATCAAATATATTGACAATAGGCTTTACCAAAGAAGGGACGCGATTACCATTAAGACATTCGTCAGCATATTTTCTGCCTAGATTTCTTCGAATCACATTGGAATTGCCATACGCCCATATTTTCTTTTTGTATGTTTGTAACATATCAATGCTTAAAACATGATTGTGTAAATCAGCAAAGAACTTCAAAGTAAAAAATAACCCAATGTTACCTCAATTAACAAATGAGTCTTTACAATACAGTTAAATCAAAAGAACTTCATTGAAACCTTTTAATGAAAGTTGTCACTTGTACTTCCACAATATTAACTGACTAACACAAAATTTACTGACTATCACAAGCAACATTACCACAGAAGCTGCTTATTCAATTACTGTATGATATACAACAATTTAACGTCTAATTATAAACACAATAAATCCTGACAAAGTGTATTACACTTTTGACGTTTTAAGAAACATTCGCGACACGCCTTATCATTGTATCTAATCTTAATAGTTTCGAATGTACATAAATCCAATGAAACTTAACTAAATCAGGCATTGCTTTTTCATTAATCAGCATAAATAATCAAACATTGCTTTTTCTTTACATCGACATGAAAAATAAGACATTGCTTCTTCATTAATCATCATAAATAATCAGACATTGCTTCTTCGTTAATCGACAT